TCTTCAAAATATTAAATTGCAATTAAAAATGAAAATATTAACCCAATTTTCAAAAAATTCTGCCTCGCTTTTTAGCATGCGGTGGTAAGTTAGGGTTGAGACTGAATCTTCCAGCTCTGCAACATCATAGCTTTTCAGCACAGTTCGGGCTCTTCGGGGTATTAAGCTCTGCTCTTTTTTTCCTCCGGAAAGGGAGCAAGCCTCATCTTTTTCGTGAAGAAACGTCCAAGCTCTCTCCTTTTCCACTGAAAAAAATCCAAGCTGTCTCCTTTTTGTCAAAAAGGGGAGAGCTTGGGCCCTTTTTGGAGATGCTTGCTCATCTTTTCGACAAAAAGGAGAGAGCTTGGATTCTTTTCTGTGGAAAAGAAGAGAGCTTTGGCCTTTCTTCACAAAAAAGATGAGGCTTGCCCCCTTTCAGCAGGGAAAAAAAGAGAGGAGCTTAGTCCCCTGAACAGTGCTTGAAAGGTATCATGTTGCGGAGTTGGAAGATTCAGTTCCTCATTAAAAAAGGTCTCTCCTTTTCCTTTTCTGAAAACGGTACAATCTCTCCCCTTTTCTCAGGAATGATCCTGTAACTGCCTAGTACGCAACCTAACTGAGAGCATACTCGTCACAATAAGACTTCCCTGATTGCATCTATAGCCCTAAATGGCCCCGGCAGCATGACTATGGCCTAAAAAAAATGCGTTCCTTTTCCTTCTCCTAGTATCCTCGAAGTGCAATATGCTTTATGTTTGGTTATGTGAATGCTTCTCCTTTTCCTTGCAGATTTTCAGTTCCTCCTCAGATTGTTTCTCCAATGGCTCAGTTTGCTTGCTTGTCCTGCCCTCTAGGTTTTCCTCTCCCAAATTTGTTGACTTATTGCATTGGTGGTGGGATCGTTGGCCCCCAGTGGGGATTTTCTTCCCCCTTCCAGCCTCCTTGACACTTCTTATCCTTTCCCCCCCATAAGGATTTCAAAACCATGCAGAGCCTGCACTTCTGCAGATGGCTTCTTCTTCTTCTTCTTCTTCTTCTTCTTCTTCTTTTTTTGTTTAATATCCGCTCCATCTATTGGTGGGAAGCTGCACCTGCTGCTCCCGGGATCTGCCATTTAAGACCATAGACAGCCCGACCACCTTCTGCCTCCGCTCCTAAGAGAGCAGGTAACACCCGTTCACATTTGACCCCACCTCGCCATACCCTGTGACACCATGCCCCAACGCACTGCACCCCAGCCCACCCCACCCCAGCGCACCCCACCTGTTGCATACTAGTGAATACTTCAACAAGTATGAGCAGAACCAAAGATCAACCAATATAGGATGAGCATGTATGCAGCGGAAGTCTGATAAATGGACTGACTCACATAGACTGTACTCATACAGATATCACTCAACACACAAACAATCGTGAGATGGTGGGGTCTGAGCCAATCATAGACAATGCTCAGGCCCCGTACAACCATGCACAGATGAAAGGTGGGAGGAGAGACGAAAGGAGGTGGGAGATGTAGGCAGTGCCAGATGTCACCGAGATAGAATCCAGTAGGTCACCGATATGGTAGTCCAAAATGTCATCGAACAAGACCAAAATGTCGTGGACAATAAGTTACCAATGTCGGAGGTACAGAGTCCTAATGTAACCGGTGTCCAATCTGTGATGCCGCCGAGTATCAATCCCAACAATCTCCAAGTCTCGAATCCGGTAAGTATCACAGCCTCTTTACCACCGAAGTCCAACACTGATCTCTGTCCAACTCGTATCAAAGTCTCCAATCTGAAGAAGAAGAGGAAGATGAAGTCTGAAGAGAAGAAGAGGAAATCTGAAGAAGAAGAGGAAGAAGAGGAGATAGCAGAGGAGGAGGGAGAGATGGCGAGGTAGGGAGGAGGAGAATCCTCACTTCCCTGCCCTGGTCCTAAGCCTTACCTGCAGGTTGCAAGGTGGCGCCTGGGATAGAAGTCCCCGGAAGTCGAAGTCCACAGGTATGGCGCCACAGGTAAGTACCAGGTAGGTACCTCGCTCCCTCTCTACCCTCAACTGCAGTCTAGCGCTAACTCGCGCTGTTGCAGTGGTGCTGCGCTATTCTAAACAGAATAGCGCAGCGTTCCTCCGAAAGGCTGCTGCTCCAGAATGCCCGAACAGGCGGCCTCCTGGTACCTAAGTACCGGTGTGGGAAGGCCGGCCTCTATGCTGTGAGGCCGAGCCGTGATCTGAATCATCAAAAGTGACGATTCAGATCAGACCGGTGGGCGGCAGCCTCAAGAGCGCGGCCAGGCCCAATGGTAATGTCGTTTGGGCCTGCCCGTCTGGTCTGGTCCTGATTGTGGCCTAAAGGCCAACCGGTGGGCCTATAGTGGCGCCTCCGGTCTAAAGGTCCGGCCTTGGACCTGGACCGGCCTCCGAACCCCTATCTGTCGGGGCTAACCAGGCCCGTGTGACACAGTGTGTAACACCATCCCACCCCATCCCACCCCATCCCACCCCATCCCACGCCACTATGGAATGGACGTTTTCCTTTTCGACCACAGGCCGAGGGCACACCGTGTACGCCTCACAGTATATAGGGGGGCCAACACTCCAGTTGTGGCTCGCGGTGTTACAGAGAGAGAGAGATCAGAGGCTTGGCAACTATTCCAGGGAGGCTTACTTGCCCCCAAGTTCAGACTTGAGATTATCTGATGACGACTGTGGGACTTGGAGAGGGATTATTACTAATTTATTACTGTTATTATTATTCTGCGGCTACACTCGTGACTCTCTTCTTCTTCTTTTCTTCCCACATTTTGTCTCCTCTCCCACCATAGCATCCCTGGATCTCCTTCCCATGTGTGTGTGTTGTGCAAGGAGGGATCTTTCGTCCATGTATGTTGCCCTCCTTGCGTCACGGCATGAAGATGATGTATGTGAGTCTCAGGTCATGACTCTGATGAGTAAGATTGTTGCTTTTCAGTCCTCCATTGCTTTGCATTGCTGTTTCTCCTCAGCTTGGTGATGTCTTGATCCTGCACCACGCCTAGATGTTTATAGGCATGTCTGTGTCTGTCTGTGTGTGTCTGTGTCTGTGTCTGTGTCTGTGTCTGTGTCTGTGTCTGTGTCTGTGTCTGTGTCTGTGTCTGTGACTGTGTCTGTGTCTGTGTCTGTCTGTGTATGTGTCTGTGTAATTCATAATGATCAAAATGGCACCAGACTACCAGTGAAGAAAAAGAAAAAACGAACACAGCTGTAAGGACCTGCCCAAACACGGACTGAAAACACAGCTGATTTCTGTGTTTTGCCGCTAGAATGAATGCCTTGTTGAGATTCCCGCTTTCTGCTGAGTTTTCTAAGTCTGTGTGGGTGTGTGCTTGCTGGTGTGCATGCCTGTCCGAGTGCTTGACGGCCTTAGTGTGTGTGTGACCCGCAAGGGTACTTGCTTGCTTGGGAGGCCCGTAGGGCCGGTACTTACCTGTGGCCGTGACATTGAGGGTTGCAGTGAGGAAAACACTCAAGTGGCGGGAATAGGCCCGCAACACTTAAGAGCAGCGGGGAAAAACACTCAAGTAGCAGGTAGGCCGCTACCACACCAAGTAGCGGGCGGTAGATGTATCGGGTACTCGAGGCCGAGCAGAAGAAGACAAAAGTTTGCATTTTTAGAGGCCCAGTAGTTTCAGGCTAGGTCTAGGTGGGTACCAGTCCAAGTAGCCTGAGTCTAGGGCCTGTACGGGGGATATCATAGTCTGCAATGATGTTTCCCTCCAAAAGGGAGGAGGTATCAGATGCTTGGAGGCCGCGCGGCCTGGAATTCACCACCCAAGAGGCAAGTAGACGGCTATATCTCCAGGAGGAGCGAAGTGCTCCTCCTCATTTGCTGCGTGCAAGTTTGGAAGTCATGCTGCTGGAGCGCTGGAGGAGCAGCGCTAGTGTGCAGCGCTGTGTGGGGAAGAAGGGCGCCCAGCTCCCCACCTTGGCTATGGTGGAGGAGCTCGGGCAGGATGAGGAGGAAGAAGGGACTAGGAGAGGGGAGCGCCAGGGGTACTTACCTGGCTATGGTGGACGCCATCTTCATCTCCTTGGTGGGCGCTGCATCTGGAAGACCCCTGTTGGGGTAGAGCGTCATCAAGAAGCTTCGAGGCAGAGTCAGGCATGGTGGCCTGAGTAGGAGCAGCCAGCCATAGCTGCTTTATGTTGTCTTTTGCATGTCAGGGCAAGGCCCTAGTAGTCCGCCATAGCCTCGGCCTTCATGAAGAGGAAGGAGAAGGGCGGCCATGGCTATGGTGGACCTCATGCTGTGCCTGCAGTAGAAGAGGGATTCGGACATTGATTCTGGTTCGGCCATTCATCATAATTATTATTATTTATTGTTTGAATAAAGAGGGGAGGAGAAAAGGAGGAGGAGATTGGTTGGCGAGAGGAAGGGGAATTATCATTGGTCTTTGCTTGTGTACATCTTCTTCTTCTTCTTCTTCTTCTTCTTCTTCTTCTTCTTCTTTCCCTCTCTCTCCTCTCTAAGTTCATTCATTTCTTTTTGCAATTGGACTTCATTGTGCGTTCTCATGAATTTGTACTTCGAAATTGGCCAGGATTGTAACACAGCGCTCTTTCTTGATTCTATGGGTGGTGGTGCATCACCGTTCTTAGTTGGTGGAGTGATTTGTCTTTCAAAAACAGAAAAACGAACACAGCTGTCTTTGCACACACACAGCTGTCTGTCTGTGCGCTTGTCGCAGTCAGAAAACACAGCCTACCATCTTCACCCGAATAGTCTAGAGGCATCAGAGTATATTGAGTGTCGTCGCTACTGCTTTTCTTCCCTGGTCAGGGGGCACTCCCTCATAACAAAGAAAAGAAAAAGGACGGAAAAAAGGAAAATATAAAGAAGAAAAAAGGAAGAAAAAAATGAGTCTCTCACCACAATCGTATAATAGAGTAATTGGCGTCACGACTAGACTCATTAGAATCATTACTTTTTTTCTTCCTTCATGGGTTTTTCTCATATGACGTGTTATGTATAACAAATTAACAATCCAATTTTGTTGCAGGCGTGATGCATTCACACTGGACATAATGGCAGTGCCTCAAGGCTCTGGATCTGGCTTCATTTGGGATAAAAAGGGACACATTGTAACGAATTACCATGTCATCCGTGGTGCATCTGATCTAAGGTAAGATGCTAACGGAGTACCGCCACTCTTCTTTGTGGACTCTCTCCCTCATTCCCAGTTATTTCCTCTTTCTCACCTTGCCTGCGGTCTTACCCTGAACACAACGCACCCTTTTTTTTTTTTTTCGTTTTTTAGCAGAGGGGGCCGGGATTACAAACAGAGGTGATTCAAGCATCCTCCACTAGTAGAACCCCTTCGCCCTCGGCTCCTGTCTATTGGTGGGGAGCAGCACCTGCTGGAAACCGGGTCCAGCGTCCCATCACATCATCAAAGTCACAACTCACCCTGATCATGAATGAATGTATACAGGTGTTCTTTCCGGTCCTATACAGTCATAATGAGGGTGTATTACCCTCAGGGGAGGACGTTCATAACTACACGAGATCACTCATTTTCTCTTCTTCAGAATCTCTCTCTCTCTCTCTCTCTCTCTCTCTCTCTCTCTCTCTCTCTCTCTCTCTC